GCTTTAATCCGTAATTGTTATTGTCTCGTTTCGTTAGTAGTAAACTAGGGGTCGTGCATCTCTAGGGTAGCATGAGCATAAGTTAAATGGTCCGAGCTTTTGCGTCCATTGCTTAGACTGATCTATTTTCCTAGGAATTAATGCTGCTAGTGTATTAAATCTAGAGAGCTTATTCTAGGTTGTCCGCTAGTTAGGTTTAGTCGAAGAGCTTATTTCGATTAAATATTCGGTAAGGGAAAATTCGGTTAACAGAGCTTGTTGTTAGCTAGGGTCGGTAATTCATTAGCAATTTAAAGAAAGCGTCGAAATTAATTAACGGTAGATTGAGATTGGGTGATAACTGAACCAAAAACTGGACTCCTCTTATTTTATTTGATTTTTATTTTATTTTCTTATTTTTATTTTTATTTTTATAATACCAATCCCCCTCATCTTTTATTGTTTTCTTAGTTTAATTCAATTAATACGAGATTGTCACAATTTAATTCCTGCTCCTCGTGGGATCGACCCTTACTCGCCGCTACTACTAGTTAGTAGAGGTTTGTTAAGGAAAAATTATAAATTTAAATTTGCCGTGTTGCGACGCGCGGTCAAATTTTGGCGCCGTTGCCGGGGAGTGGTGCAATCGAGTTGTGATTTTTGTTAGTATTAATTGAACTAGGTAATTAGATTAGTTTTTATTTTATTTTATTTTTCTTTGACTCTTTTAATCCCCCTATTTTATTTTTTTTTTTCCTTCTGGTTTCTTTTACAGGTGGTACTTATTATAAATGGATGCGTATTGGAGCCCGGAATGTGCTTACGCTTACGATTCATATTATGAAATGAAAAAGTGGGAAATAAGAGACCAACATCGTGAGGCTAGGATGTCGGCTATGATCCAAGAAGCCATTGAGAGTGTTCGTCAAGTTCTTAGGAAATCATGTCGTCTATGTCATACCACACGTCACGTCACCGATGATTGTCCACTTTTGATCGAGAGGTATGGTGCACGCAGAGCTACCGAGAGAGATTGGTATCGACTAGACGATTGGGCGTATTCAAATTTCAATAGGGGCCATTACAGTTGGGGAGATTGTGGAAATTCATTCTATGAAAATCCACGATATTCTCGACCGTATGAGCTTACTTTTGAGCATGACGAATCCCAATTCCACTATGGAGGCTCACAATATTTTTCAGAACCTTCGCTTGAACAAGAGACTAGTCCATCGTTGATGAAGTTACTTGAAGAGTGTCAAAATTCTTTGATGGCTAGTAGCAAAACGATTGGTGATCTATTGAGCGAATTGGATGCCAGAGCCAAGAGTCGGCTATTATCTCAAGCCGAACCGAACCAAAGTGATGTCGGAGACCTTGAGATGAGTAGAGAGATGGAGCTTGAGGTGCTGGAAAATCATGTTTCTGAGCCCAATGATGACCCGAGCGATGAAGAGAATGAAGAAGAAGGCGATGAGGAGCAAATTTTCGCTCTTACCGGCCCCCCCGATAAAAACCTGGTAGCATTTACTACTGCTATCGGGGCCCCCGATAACAGCCCACTCGAAGGTGACAATGACGTAAAAGCTCCGACAATTGCCCCGAGCATGACTGAAAATCAGTCTCTTCTATTCGAGGTCAAACAACCAGCAATCGAGCACGCTGAAAATCAAAAGCCTTACATCCTTGAGGTGGTTGAGACTTTCCCTCTTACCTATGATCTCGGGCTAGTCCTTTACCATGATCATTTGCCACCTAGACGAAAAGATCCGGTTAAGCACCCGACACCGGACGAGGGGATCCTTAATAAGCATGGAGCTGCAAGGTTGATGCCTCCTTTGAGGCCACCTATGAAGCCGCCATGGACCGCTTGAAGAAAGCGGAGCAATAAGTCGGGCCAACGACACTAAAAAAAGGCGCTTGTTGGGAGGCAACCCAATGGTGTGCGACGCGACTTCTTCTCCTAGATAAGGTGAACTCTTTCCTTTTACATCCTATTTTGTTCTCTTATGTGCAAACTCTAAGTTTGGGGAGGTTTATAGTGTTAGATGTCTATATGCTTGAGGTGTTGAGTTGATGTCATAGCATGTTATTATTGATTTGTTTGAGTACATATTACTTGTATGTGGAATTTCGCAATGATGATGTGAGAGGCTTTGTTAGAATTAAATGCTAGTTTATGATGACTTGGATTAATGATTTCTGGTTAAATTCTTGAAGTGTTGTTATTTGAGGGACAAAGACATGACAATTGATGTTTATGTGTTTTATTCGTGGTGAGTTGGTTTCAAACTGTTTATATTTTTGAAATGTGCTGGTGACTATTCTGTTTGATGTCGATTGTGTGAGGTAACTTGACGTGGAAAGTTGGGAGTTGATTGTCTCGAAAAAAAANCATATTTATTCTTATTTCTTTCACTGTACTTCTTTCTCATTTGAGCGCACTTCTATATATATATATATATATATCGAGACTTTTGATTCCTGGCTAGAAGCGAAGAGGAACCAAACCGGTTGACAAAGAAAGGGGTATCACTAGTTGCATAATTGGTATACTCGGTGAAAAAATTGATGAGCTGGGGTAATTCACTGAATTGATACTTAATTGTTGGCGTTCTAAAAATGATTTCATTTCGAGTCCGGGGATTATTAATTTGAGAAGTTGTAGCTATGCATTTATGTGTGAACTGTGAGGTCCTGAGCAAATATTTCACGTACTTGTTTATATCCATCTTTGTGCTTACAGTTTTAATTTGCTTGGGGACAAGCAATGGTTTAAGTTTGGGGAGATTCTAAATCATGGTAGCAACTTAATTGCAATGAGAGAGGATCCCAAGACGAGCACCCTCTCCCTAACAATAATCAAGACCCAAATGCCTTTTTCTTGCGGTGGGCAACGTTAATAAAACTACGAGAAATATATAACGTCACTCAATTGATTCAAGTAACGATGGAAATTGATAAATTACAACTTTGTAGGTAAACGAGCTTCGGTAAAAAAGACAGCACTTCACTGAGCTGCAGCTTAAGCCATCACCAAATCCTCAATTCAAATACAAAAAATCACAACCAGTAATGAAATAGCACAACTCTTTCCTATTTCTTCAACATCAAGCAACTGGTATTAGCCTAATTTATTGAAAGAACATTCACGATTGAATTGAATTCTCAGAAACCCAGAACAAGATTCAGTTTTTTCATCCGACAGAGAGAGTCCATTACCCGATTGACTGTTGCTAACTCCAACTCAGTAATTGAGAAAAATGTGAAGTGTAGTGATAGAACCAGTTCAACTGGAAAATTTTCACCAGAACCCGTTCATACGAAGAAAAAATTGAAGATCAATTCCAAATCCTGCAAATTAATTGTAATGAGAGAGGATCCCTAGACTGGCACCCTCTCCCTAACAATAAACAAAACCCTGGTGTCTTTTCTTATGGTGAGCAAGCGTTAAGGAATATGCATAAACCTGCAAGAACAAATTGAGCTAGCATGATGAGAATGGAGAAATAAAAAGTCACTCAAATGATTTACAAAACAATGGAAATTAATAAATTGCAAGTTTACAGCTAGACGAGCTCAGACGAAAAAAGACAACACTTCACAGAAGACATCATAAATTCCTCAATTCGAAAACAGAAAATTACAACTAGTAAAGAAAAAAGTACAACTCTTTCCTATTTCTTCAAAATCAAACAAGTGGTATTCACCTAATTTATCGAAAGAACATTCAAGATTAAATTGAATTCTCAAAGACCCAGAAAAAAGATTCAATTTTTTTCTTCCAACATAAAGAGCCCACTTGTGGGTTACGCGACTGTTGCCAACTTCAACTCAGAAATCAAGAGGAGAATGAAAAGAATATAAGTTTCGTCCAACAAAAAGAGCCCACTGGTAGGTTACGCGACTGTTGCCAACTTCAACTCAGAAATGAAGAGGAGAATGAAAAGAATATAATTTGCAGAGATATGAATATAAACAAAAGCATGATATTTTTCTAATATAAATATCTATTACAAAAATCAGTGCCACGATTTTTGTTTAGACAGTCATTCTAGACACTTGGGCGATCTGCCTAAGACGTCATCTATGCGAACTAGGCAGTTATGATATTAATCATGTATAGACTGTCCGGGTAGTAGTCGAAACATGTACCTAGGAGATCTTAAAGCACACTTAGACGTCCATAACTGTATTGAATATACTTTGAATAATGCTATTTAACTAACTTGGATGACAACTTGAGTTACAACCCAAGTGTAAATGCATTATCAACAAATTAAAAAATAATGCATTTACACGTGAGTTGTAACTCAAGTTGTAACCGAAGTGGGTTTTATAGCATTACTTATATACTTTAGTTATTAAACAACAAAATAATTATGAATGTATTAATGTTTGCATTATCTTTATTTTGATCATGTTAACTAATATATTATATATAATATATCCTTAAAATTATAAAGGGTAAATAATATTTCTCTAACATTTACTTGTATAAAGTTTAAAAATTATAAAGGGTAATTAATATTTTACAAGCTGTAGCATTCGTGTATTTAGGATTTACAACCTCTTCAATTATTGATAATAAATAACACTATATAATATACAAAATGTCGATATCGCAACCTCTCGCCATCAACGTTCCAATTTTCTCGAAAAAAGCAAGCGTGCGAGATGAAGGCACCAAATTTGAGATAAGAAAATCTCATTTAACTTGATGTTTATTGCCCTCACTCTGAATTTAATTTAAGGCAACATATTTACCCAAATTCAAATTGATATAATCAATCTATGGGTCATCTTTTCGAATTTAATCTCAATGTTTCCTTCTTGATTAAGGTTTTTGATTAAAATGGGAAGAATATTTTCCCTTATCCATCGCTGGTAGGGCCGCCCCTGGCAACGTTTTATGGCATATGCCTTGACTAATTAATTTACATGTCGTCGCCAAAGCATCACCGAAAAGTTAGAGTCGAGAAGAACAAGAGGGGAAAACTATTCGAGAAGGCGTCGTCCTTCTAGGGCAAGGCTGAATTGGCAGCGACAGCGAGCGTGCTCCCTCGGCCAAGGACGGTGTCGGACCTGCTCCCCAAGAGGGGATGTAGCTGGAGCTCGGCGGAGGACGCCGCCGTATCGGCTGCCGGTCCTCTCTTTTCACGGCGCGTCCAATTTGGACCTCAATTATTCCCAATTTGGCTTGGAAAGTAAGCTTTCCAAATATAGGGTTTTGTTATAAAACAATTTATGTCATTTGATTACAGTGAAATTACGTTTTTTCTCTCAATTTTGGTACGTGCGTCTCGCACGCTTGCTTTTATGGGGAAAATTGGACCGTCAATAGTCAGAGACTACGATATAGACATTTTGTGTATTATAAGTTACAACTTACTAAAAAAATTGCAAAAGTTGCAAATCTCAAACATGCGCATAGTATAGATTGTAAAATGTTATTTAATCATGTATAATTATAAATAAGTTTTATTAATATTTTCATGACCTTGTTTAGGCATTGTCAATCCGCATCAAAGCACTAGACATTCAGCGTGTCGCCTAGCTAGCGCCGAACATTGTACCAATAAATACATTCTTATTAAAAACTATAAACAACCTCATAGAATCTGTAAATGAGGAAATATAATGCACGACGTGGTCGTCGGGGGTCTTTGTCCCTTTGTTCCGGCCTCTCCGTGGTGTGTGGACAGCGGGTTCTCCAGCGGGGGCAGTTTGTGGCTGTGCTCTCCAGATCGTGTGGGGGGTGAGAGTGGCTCCCTCGATGCGTGTTTGCCGTAAATCATATTCTTTTCTTTTGGGTTTCTCCCGAGGTTTGGTTCGAGTGATGAAGTTGTGGTGTATTTCCCGACTATTGGAAGAGATTTGCTGTATTCTAGTAGCAGTTTTAGTTTTGTGTGTTCTTTGTGTTTTTTTGGTGTTTTCTCTGTATTTTTTTGGGTTGTTATATTGTTGGCAGCAATGTTATTTTCCTGTTGGGAGTTCATCTATTATTATGCGTGAGCTTTACTGCGGATATCCTACTCTCACTACATCCATCTGCTAATGATTGTTTTGAGATTGTAATTATATGTTTTAATTAAAAAATTCATGTAAGTTGAAAAAAAAGAAAAACTAAAGTCGGTCACTTAACATAAAATAGCTTCATAATTCCTCACTTTCTATTTTCATTTCCGATTAATAGCTTCGTCACTAATCAACCTAAAAAACTCTTCAATCAAATCCACATAAACCCTTCACCGAATTTCATCTTCAGAAATTCCATCCTCTCCGTAAAAACTGCAATCGCCGGGAGCTGCGCTCGCTTTCCAATCAACCGTACCCCACCTGATGAAATTCTGCTGATCGGCGCCACATCGAAGCTCCCCGTACTGCCATGGCGGAGGAGATCGCCGCCCTCGCCGCTGCCCTGTCTTCCGACGATTTCTCTTCGAAGCTCCGCTCCGACGCGTCGGCGCCTGTGCTGAGGCTAGGGCTCGAGAAACTCTACTCGCTCCTCAGGCAATCCGTCAGGCCGTTGGATTTTTATGATGGTGAAGCGGCGGGCGGCAGTTTAGCGTTGGAGGTCTGGGACCAAGCTCAGATTCATGCCCTGGCCTGTGTATCGACTGGTGTTGCTAAAGCAATTCGATCGACGCCAGGTATGTTGATTGCATTAGTTTGCTCGTGGTTGTGAGTTAGTTTGTTGTAGTTTTATGATCTTGAGCTGAGCCTGTCTTTTACTTGGCAGCTGAGCAAGTTGAGCCTGTGGTTGTGGCCGTGGTCCAACAGTCGATGGAGTTTGCGTTGTGTTACCTGGAAAAATGGAATTCTAAGAGTGATGATGCAAGTCTTCAGGTTGGTGATTACGTGCTGTCCGTTTGTTTTCGTCTGTGTTTTGTGCATGGTTTTATGGTGTCTATCTTCTTGGACGGGATAAGTGGAAGTTCCAAATTATTTTCTCAAATGAATAGTCCACTTGTATAGCGGACGCTAAGATCTGTTTTACTAGATTTTTTTACTTTACATTACAACACAAAGTGTAGAGTTAGTGGATGGGCGTGAGGGGGAGTACCGATATTTACAGACATTGGTGTTGCACTTGGCACGGATGTGTTGTTTAAATTGTCCCTGACCTGTAGGTCCTCCTATTTTCACTTTATACTTTGGGCTGGGTAGATGCCTATGAAGGATGTGTTAGACAACGTAAAAAAAAATAGTAGTATTGGCGATATGGTTTTTTATTTTGTGGTTTCACTCTTTGCTCAGTCGTTTTACTGTTCAATAATTAATAAATTAAACAGATTATCAACCATAGGTGTCATTAACATGTTTACAAGAATGTCCATGCTAAGATCTGTTTTACTAGATTTTTTTATTTTACATTACAACACAAATTGTAGAGTTAGTGGATGGGCGTGAGGGGGAGTACCGATATTTACGGACATCGGTGTTGTACTTGGCACAGATGTGTTGTTTAAATTGTCCCTGACCAGTAGGTCCTCCTATTTTCACTTTATACTTTCGGATGGGTAGATGCCTATGAAGGATGTGTGAGACAATGTAAAAAAAATAGTATTATTGGCGATATGGTTTTTTATCTTGTGGTTTCACTCTTTGTTCAGTCGTGTTACTGTTCAATAATTAATAAATTAAACAAAATATCAACCTTAGGTGTCATTAACATGTTTACAAGAATGATATTGTCCATGCTTCTTATTTAATCCTGTCTGCCTTTTCAGAACATTATGGTACAGTTATTGGAGCTGGTGCTAGTTGATGGAGTACATAAAGAGTTGGATGTCTTGCAATCATGCACTACTAATGTTCAGGTGGACTTGTTGCCCACTGTTGCTGATAAAGATGATACCGTGCAGTGGAAGGACAATGTCGAGTGCATGCTTAATGGTATTGCTGCACGGATGTCTGCTATACCTTTGTTTTACTATAATGATTGCGCAGCTCCCTTAATTTGCATAATTTCTTTTGTTTCTGGTCAGGACCAATGTGCTCCCGGGGAAATGAAGCAGATGATAACCTGTTAAACACTTTAATTGCTGAATGTGTACAAGTCGATATTGTCAATCCTGTTACGTCTAGACAATCTTTTCCCCGCAATGTCGATAAACTGAGTACTCTTTTTCAGCACTGGGCTATTGTTCATTTGAGATGCATCCACCGCCTTATTCTTCTCTGCAAAGAACTCTTAAAACTATCAGTGTCATTGGATGAAAAACAAGTCTGTCACAATATGCGAAGGAGATTGTCAACTTGCATACGAATATTCAAGCTGATGGGATGTCTTACAAAAGAGAATTCGTTTGTTGATTCTGACAACCAGTTGTTGCAATCGACTGCTTCTTTCATTGATGTACTGCCTACACTGTTTGGAGCTGGTGTTGAGTTTGCGAATGCTGAAAGCAGCTGTGAAAGTCTTGCTGTCCACTGCTTGGAAGAATTTCTGCAAGCAATGCAGGCTACTCTCTGTCGGAATTATATCTTTCAGAATATCCAAGCATGTGTAGCGACTTCTATCTTACACATTTTAGACTCTGATGTCTGGAGTTCAGATAAATATGTTTCCAGCCATAAACTCCCATTGGCTTGCTCTCCTCGTGTGATTATTTTCGTTTTGAAACTCATTTCTGATATCAAGGATCCTGCACATTACATTGTCGATGTGGGTGACCTTGATACTAGGTGTACTGACAGCACAGAGCTTGAAGCTCCTCTATGCCATGTTCGGAATGAGGAAGTATTATTGTTGAGAAAGTATACAGTAGACGAGTTATTGGCATTTATATTTCCTCCATCAGTTCAGTGGCTCGACAACCTGATGCATCTGGCTTTCTTCCTTCATTCTGAGGGCATCAAATTAAGGCCAATACTGGAGAGATCATTTTCCAGTGGGACGAAAGCATCGGGTACCTCGGAAGTCGAAACTGTTGTCTGTCATGAAGATGAAGCTCTTTTCGGTGATCTTTTTTCCGAGGCCAGTCGTTCTGTTGGATCTGCCGATGGATGCGAACACTCTAATGTTGCTGCTAGTTCTGTTTCAAGCTTAAGGAATATGCCACTGGAGGCAGCAACTGAAGTACTCAATTTCCTGAAAACATGTGTTTTCTCTCCTCAGTGGCATCCATTGGTGTATCAAAATGCGTGCCGGAAGCTTAGTGGCAACCATTTTGACATTTTACTTTCATTTCTTAAATGTCAGGGCAGTTATCCTGAAGACAGGACTTATGATAATAGCTTAACTCTGCATGAAGAGAAGAAATATGGACATGTACAGCAGGTGTGCTTTGAATTATTGCAGAAACTTGTGACACTTAGATCCTTCTCCGAATCTCTTGAAGAATCAATAGTTGATAAAATTTTGTTTGTTGAAGCTGGTGGTTATGTGTACAATAATAAAATGCTTGCTTTACTTGCCAATATACTAGTGTGCCGAGTGGGTTTGGCTGGTTCCAGATTGAGAACCAAAATTTACGTGACGTTTATTGAATTTATCCATCAAAAGGCAAAAACAGTTTTCTCAATATGCCCTGGTGTGAAGGAGATAGCCGGAACTCTTCCTTCTTTATTTCACATTGAGATTCTTTTGATGGCTTTTCATCTTTCATCTGAAGAGGAGAAAGCTGCACTGGCTAATTTAATGCTCCGGTCTGTTAGAACTATGGATGTTCCCTGTTCTGGTTTTGACAGTGTGCAGTTTTCGTGCTGGGCTTTGGTGACGTCAAGATTGATTTTAGTACTTCGTCATATGATATATCACCCTCGTACATGTCCGTCGTTGCTGCTCTCTGACTTCAGAATGATATTGAAGGAAGCACCTGAGCTACAAATGAACAGTTATTTCAAGTATTTGCCATCTTGGATAGCCTTTGCATTAGAGGAAATGGCGAGTTCGGATGGGGCAATGGCAAATATATCTCTGCTTAATCAATTGGTTGATATTGCCCCTCTTCCAGCTTCACTGTGTACTACTTATTCTCCAGAAGATTGGTTAGGTTTGACGTGGGAGGAAATATGTGCTTCTTTTTGCCAGATTTTGGGATACTGGAGTGGTCGAAAAGCTTCCAATACGGATGACTTGATTCTTGAACGTTATCTTTTTGTGCTTTGCTGGGATATCCCAGTTGGGGGATCTTCCTCAGACCGTGGGCAAATTCTCTTGAGGGATCTCAAGGTTCCAGCTATCTTAAATACAAGAGACATTCTGTATATCAGTCATTATATATTAAGTCAGCATGTTGATAGCAATGAGTTTGCTGGCACTGCTGATCTTATTTTGAGTTTGCTTCAGCGATTGCATGGTTCACTTACTTGTGAGGATGTTGGGGAACTCGGATGGGATTTTTTTAGGAGTGGATCCTTGCTTTCTTTTGTCCTCTCCGTACTTTGTTTAGGCATTCATGGGTATGATAAGAATTCTTCCGCAATAGTGGTCCCCACCAGGCCAGATTCCACAGCTGGGGATGCGGAGTTTTTGGAATTCACCAGAAGTCTTGTTTACAACTCTTTCAGTACTGATCAAGTTGCAATGCTGATAAAAATATTGGCGTCTTTGTTAAACGGATACTTACGGATATATCAGAAAGCTTTGGCATCAATCTTTGTAGATGAGCATCGGTGTGCCAACAGATTTTTCCCTCTGTGGTTTCTTCCGTATGCTGATCCAGACAAAAATATTCAAGATGAGTTCTCCAAGAAGATGGGGATCAGTTCATGCTTGTTGACCTCAGTTTATGAGCTGCCTTCAAAACTGGGTAAAATTGTTGAGAAATGTGCTCTGGGTGTAAGAGCAAGGATTTTCTGGGAAGCTGCTTTGCATGGATTTCCTCCTCATCACCTACTTGGGAGCGAAATTATATCATCCTGCATCCTCAACATGAAAGGAATCATTATCAGTCTTGCTGGGCTATTGGAAATAAGAGCTTCTAGAGGGATCAAATGGGAGGAAAAAGAGGTCAGCAGTGAGATTCTTGAATCAGCCCTGGCAATTAAATGTGACCGGGTCTTCGAAAACCTCAAGGGTCAATGTGACGTGATAGGTGAAAGCTTGAAAATGGGAACTGAAGGACCTGATTACAACAGCCTATTCATTATGAAGCGCATGGAAGAATTTTTGAGAAGCGCGCATAAAGGAGAAGATGTTAATGTAAGCATCCATGAATATGTGGTTGTGAAAATGGTGGATATGGCTTACAGCCTGATTGGTGATACTTCAAAAACTGTCATTTTCAAATTCTTCCTCTCTATGGAGGATTCTTCTGAAAAACTAGTGAATTTTTATGGTCCCCTACGAGGCGATCTATCGGTTCTCTTTGATGCTCTAGATCATTGCTGTTCTGAATCTGTTAATGTGAAGGTTCTCAATTTCTTCACAGATATTTTATCTGGTGAATATCCGTTGGTAATGAAGAAGTTGCGCACAAAGTTTGTCGAAACGGATTTGGTTTCACTGTCAAAGTGGCTGGAGTTGAGGCTACTAGGATCTGTAACTGAAACACCAGACGGCATCAGTGCTAAAGGAATTTTAGTCTCTCTAAGAGATGCGACCATGAAATTTCTCACTTGTCTATTGTCGCACACTTCGGATTTCCTGCTGCAGGAGTTACACTGTCATTTGCATCAAGCCATGCTTCTTTCTCTCGACAATGCATTTTTACATTTTGATTTTAATGCAGCAAAAGGGTATTATAGTTTCATTGTTCAACTATCTGAAGGGGAAATTCTGATCAAGTCACTGATTCAGAGAACTGTCATCCTGATAGAGAAGCTTGCTGGTGATGAGAACTTGCTTGAAGGGTTGAAGTATCTTTTGGGGTTCCTTACAGCGACTGTAAGTGATTGTGCGTCTCCTGGTTGCATTATGGAAAAGTCCCATGGGAAGACCGTTTCTAGAAGTAGTTCTGGTTTAGGGTCATTATCATCTAGAACTCTTGGTTCAAGAAGAAACGCCAATGACTTGATCCCATCTGCTAATCGGTCAGCTTCTGTTGACTGTGATGCAACTTCTGTTGATGATGATGAAGATGATGGAACATCGGATGGTGAGTTGGGTAGCATAGATAAGGAGGAGGAGGAGGATACCAACAGTGAGAAGGCTCTAGCATCTAAAGTTTGTACCTTCACATCCAGCGGCAGCAATTTTATGGAGCAGCACTGGTACTTCTGCTATACATGTGATCTGACTGTCTCGAAAGGCTGTTGCTCCATATGTGCAAAAGTCTGTCATCGAGGTCATCGTGTTGTATACTCTCGCTCTAGTCGTTTTTTTTGTGATTGTGGTGCTGGTGGTGTTCGAGGCAGCAGTTGCCAGTGCTTGAAGCCTCGAAAGTACACTGGAAGTAGCACTGCAAGTAACACTGCACCCTTACGTAGTGCTGCTAACTTCCAGTCTTTTATCTCCCCTACTGAGAATGTCGATCAGTTGCCTGACAGTGATTCAGACATTGAAGAGGACACATCGACCGACCTGGATAACTCTACCAGGTTATTTGTATCAAAAGAGGTTCAAGACAGGATGCCGCTGCTGCTGGATGAGCTGGAGGTGGAACACCGTGTATTAGGAGTTTGCTCATTATTGCTGCCTTATATAACTGCACGAAGAGATTCCATAATGATAAGAGATAAGAAAGTTACACTGTCTGAAGACAAAGTGCTTCACTATAGCAATGAACTTCTGCAATTGAAAAAGGTATTTAAGAGCGGATCATTGGATTTGAAGATAAAAACAGATTATTCAAATGCAAAGGAACTAAAAGCTCATTTGACAAATGGATCTCTCGTCAAATCATTACTCAGTGTCAGTGCCCGAGGTCGATTAGCAGTTGGTGAAGGTGATAAAGTAGCCATATTTGATGTGGGCCAGTTAATTGGACAAGCCACTGTTGCTCCTGTGACAGCTGATAAGACTAATGTGAAGCCTCTTTCTAAGAATGTTGTTCGCTTTGAGATCGTGCATCTTCTTTTTAATCCACTTGTTGAGAATTATCTGGTTGTAGCAGGCTATGAAGACTGCCAGGTCCTTACAGTTAATCATCGAGGTGAGGTGATTGATAGATTAGCTCTTGAACTTGCTCTACAAGGTGCATATATCAGACGTGTAGAATGGATCCCTGGTTCTCAGGTTCAGTTAATGGTGGTCACAAACAGATTTGTCAAGATATATGATCTATCTCAAGACAGCATCAGTCCTTTGCACTATGTGACATTGCCTGATGACACAATTGTGGATGCAACTGTTTTAGTGGCTTCCCATGGTAGGACAATTATAATTGTCCTCTCGGAGTCTGGCAGCTTGTACAGATTGGAGTTGTCCACTAAAACAAATATTGGCAGCAGGCCTTTGAAAGATATCATTGAAGTAGAGGGGAAAAACAAGCCTGCAAAGGGCTCCTCACTATATTTCTTGCCTACTCATAAATTACTCTTCTTATCCTATCAAGATGGGAGTACCTTGATTGGCCGCTTAAATCTGGATGCAACATCCGTGGTAGAGGCGTCTGCTGTGTATGAGAATGACTTGAATGGTAAGATCCGTCCAGCTAGTTTGCATCGTTGGAAAGAGTTATTGGGTGGCAGTGGGTTATTTGTTTGCTTTTCAAATCTAAAATCAAATGGGGTACTTGCCATCTCCCTGGGACAGCATGAAATGTTAGCACAGAATTTGCGTCATACTGGGGGTTCTTCGTCACCTCTGGTCGGGGTTACTGCTTATAGGCCTCTGTCAAAAGACAAAATCCACTGTCTTATTATGCATGATGATGGAAGTCTCCAGATCTACTCACACATCCTTGCTGGGTTGGATACTGGTGTTAATTTGATGGCAGATAAGGTTAAAAAACTGGGTTCTGGTATTCTAAAAAATAAAGCTTATGGGGGTGCAAAACCAGAATTTCCACTTGACTTCTTTGAGAAAACTGTCTGTATTACGCAAGATGTGAAATTCAGTGGTGATGTCATTCGAAACAATGATTCTGAGGGGGCTAAGCAAACTTTTGCATCTGAAGATGGATTTCTAGAGGGTCCGACTGCAGGATTTAAGGTATTCAGTTACTGGAAGTTCAAGTCTGATTTCACATATGTTCATTCATTATTTTTTGAAGTTCTACACTCTCATCAACTCACACTCATTATTTTATTTAATATATACTTATGGTCTGGTTTTATTTCTTCCTTCACTTTATATCTCTTAAGTGTACATCTCATAGTTGCTTTAGGATCAGACATGTCTATTTTTATTTTTCGTCTCTTGTCTTCGTTTCTTTTGAGAAAAATTCTCAGCCAGAGCTACTGATGATATAGTGAACTGTGAACCATGACTTGGAATTTGGTTCCTGAGTTTCTCGTTTTAAAGATTTCTATGTATCTTCTAGCAGCCCATTTCACATGTAAAAGCCTTCAAAACACTTCAGTAATTGGTTGCTCCACCTTTGTTTGCCATGTACTTTTGGAAGGGCTAGCTTTGTTAACAGTGTCCACGTTTTCCTACTTTATGTAAATGTTTGATACTACTCCACAGTCATCTCGAGCACATAGTTCCTTGATTTAAAGTACTTACTTTACATTGAATTGTTACTTGTAATAAATTCTATAACATTTTGTTTATGGATGAAAAGCTTTGCTCATGATGTTCATATTTGAGTAGATGTGTTGATCCTGCTCTTTTTATAAACATAAACATGTAGCACATATCTTTGCATTTTTTGTAGTATCGTCATATTATATTCGGTTCTTTATGTTGTTATTCCAAGCATCTTGAAGATCATTTTGATTTATTTTTCAGATAACAGTCACAAATTCAAATCCCGATATTGTCATGGTTGGTGTTCGCTTGCATGTCGGTAATACGTCAGCCAGTCATATTCCTTCTGAAATTAGTATTTTTCAGAGAGTTATAAAACTTGATGAAGGAATGCGGTCTTGGTATGATATACCCTTCACTGTAGCTGAATCACTCTTAGCTGACGAGGAGTTCATTATTACTATTGGCCGAACTGCCAGCGGGTCTGCTTCGCCAAGAATAGATTCCTTAGAGGTGTATGGTCGGGCAAAGGATGAATTTGGTTGGAAGGAGAAGATGGATGCAATACTAGATATGGAAGCTCGACTGCTTGGTTGTGATTCGTGCTCATCCGGTTCAGCAAGGAAGTGTCAGACGGCACACTCTTCTTCACAGGCGCAGGTGATAGCTGATAGCCTCAAGCTACTCTCCAGTATCTATTTTCTGTTTAAACCTCCGGGATTCTCAAAAAGTGAAGAAGTTAAAGTGGAACAGAGCAACCTTAAATGCAAGCAAGTGCTAGAAACAATATTCGAAAGTGACAGGGAACCCTTGCTTCAGGCTGCTGCCAGCCGAGTTCTGCAGTCTGTATTTCCTAGAAGAGAGATATATTACCAAGTAAGTGACTAGTTTCTGATGGCTTAATCTAGTATTAATGTCGTGTTCTTAAGTTCATGCTCAACAAATATTCACTTCCGATTTCTTTTTTAATGTTCATATGGTTATCTAGAATTCACAACTTCTCTGACCCTGAGTACTTTTCTTTAGGTGAAAGACACTATGCGCCTCACTGGAGTAGTGAAATCTACAGTTGCACTCTTGTCGAAGCTGGGAACGGGGGAGCTTACCCCAGGGTGGATTATTGAAGAGTTTACAGCACAGATGCGTATAGTTTCTAAGATTGCTGTGCATCGTCGCTCAAACTTGGCTAATTTCCTTGAGACTGATGGTACGTTATCCGTTATTAACTGAAAATTCTTCCACTGTGTTATTTGCCATTATTGTGGCTGCGTGCATTCCTGTTGTGCTGGGGTAACCATGAGTCCTGTTAAAAATGTAGTGCAATTGGGATTCGAGAAAATTGGAAGTTTTATGTTTGTATGAATGTTTCACACTTTGCGAATTGTATTGGTTATGCTCCACGAGTTTTCGTGGACAGTCATAGTTCCAAACTTCCAAATAGTATGATGCATTTGTTGAACTTCTAAAAGCATCAAGTTACATGCTGTGATTGTGAATGAACGGCTTTCGTAAAATTATGTTGTATGTCCGTTTACATTCTTGAGGTTCTTATATTTTATTTGTCTTAATCATATATGATATGAAATAGGTTCCAACGTGGTTGATGGACTTATGCAAGTACTCTGGGGAATTTTGGATGTAGAGCAGCCGGACACACAAACTATGAATAATATGGTCATATCATCTGTTGAGCTGATCTATTGTTATGCAGAGTGTTTAGCACTGCATGGAAAAGATGTTGGCATCAAATCTTTAAGCCCTGCAGTTACTCTCTTTAAAAAGCTTATTTTCTCTACGAATGAAGCTGTTCAAACATCCAGCAGGTAAATGTTATAAAGGTTGCTATTCGTGTATAGCATTTGCATAATGCACGTGCACTTATGTTTACTGTTTTCTTTTCAGCTTGGCTATATCTTCTAGACTGCTCCAGGTTCCCTTTCCAAAGCAGAAGATGTTAGGGGCTGATGACGTCGTGGATGGTCCATCATCTGTTGCCCTCCGTGCTGATGCTAATAGTGCGACTAGTGGAAATAATCCTATTTTGGTAGAAGAAGATTCAATCACTTCATCTGTACAGTATTGTTGTGATGGTTGCTCAACTGTTCCTATTTTGAGGCGAAGATGGCACTGTACAGTTTGTCCTGATTTTGATTTATGTGAAGCATGTTACGAAGTCTTAGATTCTGAAAGACTTCCTCCTCCACATTCTAGAGATCACCCAATGACGGCAATCCCAATTGAAGTAGAGACATTTAGTGGAGATGGCAATGAAATTCACATCTCTACTGTTGATATAAGCGAGTCCACTTTGTTGTCGGTTTCTGGTGGCATCAATTTGCAGAATTCAGCTCCATCAATCCATGATCTGGAGCCGAGCGAGTCGGGAGAATTCTCTACTTCAGCTGTTGACCCTGTTACTATTTCTGCTTCTAAAAGGGCGGTCAATACGCTGCTTCTTTCCGAGCTTCTTGAGCAGCTGAAAGGATGGATGCTTACGACCTCTGGAGTTCAGGCAATTCCTGTGATGCAGCTCTTATACCGATTGTCTTCAGCTATTGGTGGTCCTTTTGTCGATAGCACAGAGGTTGAGAGCTTAAATTTGGAATATTTGATCAAATGGTTTATAGATGAGATGAAAGTGAATCAACCTTTTGATGCACAGACCCGATCATCATTTGGGGAAGTGATGATCCTTGTATTCATGTTCTTCACACTTATGATACGTAACTGGAATCAACCAGGTGCTGATGTTACTGTATCAAAATCTGGCGGGACAGCAGATTCACAGGACAAAGGTATCCTGATCCCACCGTCCGTGCAATTATCCAGTTCCTCTACATCTGATGGCCATGAAAAAAGCGACCCGGCATCCTGCCTGCATAGAGCTTGTGGGTTCCTTAGGCAGCAGGTTTTCATTAACTATCTCATGGACATTTTGCAACAGTTGGTCCATGTCTTCAAGTCGCCTTCTGTCAGCTCTGAAACTCATGGGATGAACCCTGGTTCTGGATGTGGTGCTTTATTGACCGTCAGGAGAGAGCTTCCAGCTGGTAATTTCTCACCATTTTTCTCGGATTCGTACGTCAAATCTAACCGTTCAGATATATTTGCTGACTACCATAGATTATTACTGGAGCACACTTTCCGGTTACTCTACTGTCTAGTTCGGCCTGAGAAGCATGACAAGGGTGGGGAGAAAGAAAAAACATACAAGATTTCTTCTGCTAAGGATCTGAAGCTTGATGCATATCAGGATGTTCTTTGCAGTTATATCAACAATCCTCATACGACTTTTGTAAGGAGGTATGCCAGGCGGCTTTTTCTGCATGTCTGTGGCAGTAAGACACACTATTACAGTGTCCGTGATACTTGGCAGTTTTCAAATGAGATTAGGAAGCTTTATAAGCACATTGACAAATCTGGTGGATTTCAAAGCTCCATCTCATATGAAAGAAGTGTGAAGATAGTGAAGTGCCTCTCAACCATTGCAGAAGTATCTGCAGCAAGACCTAGAAACTGGCAGAAATATCTCTTAAGGCATGTAGATGTGTTACCATTCCTCATGAATGGTGTTTTCTCTTTTGGGGAAGAGTGTGTTATTCAAGCTCTGAAACTTCTAAATTTGGCATTTTATTCTGGAAAGGATGCTAATCACTCCTCACAGAAGGCTGACGGTGGAGATGGAGGTACGAGTTCGAGCAAGTTTGGAGCACCAGACTCCAAGAAAAAAAAGAAAGGTGATGAAGGAAGTGAATCTCCTATGGAGAAATCGTACATGGATATGGAACAAGCGCTGAATGTCTTTACCGACCGTGGTGATGACTGCCTTACGCAATTTATAGACACATTTTTGTTGGAGTGGAATTCTAGCACCGTGCGTGGAGAAGCCAAATGTGTTCTTTTGGGTGCATGGCACCATGGGAAGCAGTTGTTCAAGGAGACTATGTTAATTGTTCTGTTGCAGAAAGTGAAACACTTGCCGTTGTATGGTCAGAATGTCGTCGAGTGCACTGAGCTCATCACTCTCTTGCTTGGGAAATCAGCTGATAGTACCTTCAAACCACAGAACAATGAAATTATAAATAATTGCTTGACTTCTGATGTGATTAAAAGCATTTTCGAGACACTGCATTCACAAAATGAGCTTTTAGCAAACCATCCGAATTCTCGTATTTACAATACATTGAGTGGTTTGGTGGAATTTGATGGTTATTATCTTGAGAGCGAACCCTGTGTTGCATGTAGCTCTCCTGAGGTTCCATACAGCCGGATGAAGCTCGAAAACCTGAAATCAGAAACAAAATTCACAGACAATCGTATCATTGTGAAATGCACCGGTAGCTATACCATTCAGAGTGTGACCATGAATGTTCATGATGCTCGAAAGTCCAAATCGGTTAAAGTGCTGAATCTTTATTATAACAACAGGCCTGTGGCTGATTTATCAGAGTTGAAGAACAATTGGTCCTTATGGAAACGGGCAAAGATATGCCATCTGGCATTCAATCAGACAGAGCTGAAAGTTGACTTCCCCATTCCTATAACAGCGTGTAACTTTATGATTGAGTTGGATTCTTTCTATGAAAATCTTCAAGCATTATCCCTGGAACCACTGCAGTGTCCACGTTGTAGTCGGCCTGTCACTGACAAACATGGAATTTGTAGCAACTGTCACGAAAATGCTTACCAGTGCAGGCAATGCCGCAACATAAATTACGAAAATCTTGACTCCTTTCTGTGCAATGAGTGTGGATATAGCAAATATGGTCGCTTTGAATTCAATTTTATGGCCAAGCCAAGTTTTACTTTTGACAGCATGGAAAATGATGAGGATATGAAGAGGGGACTAGCGGCAATAGAATCTGAATCTGAAAATGCTCATCGGCGATATCAACAGCTTTTGGGTTTTAAGAAACCCTTGCTGAAGATTGTGTCAAGCATCGGTGAGAATGAAATGGATTCTCAGCAGAAGGATTCTGTGCAGCAAATGATGGTGTCGTTACCTGGTCCTTCGTGCAAGATCAACCGCAAAATAGCCCTTCTTGGTGTACTTTATGGTGAGAAGTGCAAAGCAGCCTTTGATTCCGTGAGTAAAAGTGTTCAGACTCTTCAAGGTCTCCGACGGGTATTGATGAGTTATTTGCATCAGAAACATTCTGATAATCTTGCTGCAGCCTCGAGATTCGTTGTGTCAAGGTCTCCAAATAGTTGTTATGGTTGTGCCAGTACTTTCGTAACCCAATGTCTTGAAATACTGCAAGTGCTATCAAAGCACCCAAGTTCTAAGAAGCAACTTGTTGCTTCTGGCATTCTGCGTGAGTTGTTTGAGAACAATATTCATCAGGGCCCAAAAACATCTCGTGTTCAAGCCAGGGCGGCACTTTGTGCTTTCTCTGAGGCCGATGTAAATGCAGTGACCGAATTGAACAGCTTGCTGCAGAAGAAGGTTGTCTACTGTCTTGAACATCATCGTTCCATGGACATAGCTTTGGCAACACGAGAAGAACTGTTGTTGCTTTCAGATGTCTGTTCTTTGGCCGATGAGTTCTGGGAGTCGAGATTAAGGATTGTTTTCCATTTGTTATTTAAATCAATCAAACTAGGTGCCAAGCATCCTGCTATATCCGAGCATGTCATACTACCTTGCCTCAAGATTATATCTCAAGCATGTACTCCACCGAAACCTGATACAGTCGAAAAAGATCCAGTAGCTGGAAGGCCACCTTCAGTTTCACATCTGAAAGATGAAAACAGATCACATGAATCTGGGTCTAGTGGGCTCGCGAATGCGAACAGATCTTTGTTGGAGTCATCAGACAAGAATTGGGGTGGTTCCTCGAAGACTCAGGATATCCAGTTACTGAGCTACTCTGAGTGGGAGAAGGGAGCTTCATATCTTGATTTTGTGAGGCGGCAATATAAAGTTTCTCAGTCAGTCAGAGTTGGCCAGAAGTCTCGGCCTCAAAGATGTGATTATTTGGCCATGAAATATGGGTTGAGATGGAAGCGGCGGGCTTGTAAAGCAACTCAGAGTGAAACAAAATTATTCGAACTCGGTTCATGGGTTACTGAACTTATACTGAGTGCTTGCTCACAGTCAATAAGATCTGAGATGTGCATGTTAATCAATTTGCTTTGTGGACAAAGTTCATCCAGACGGTTCCGGTTGCTAAATTTGCTAATGTCATTGTTACCAGCTACTCTTTCTTCTGGTGAGGATGCAGCAGAGTATTATGAGTTGCTTTTTAGAATGATCGATTCGGAGGATGCTCGTCTATTTTTGACTGTCCGAGGATGTTTGACTACTATCTGTAAACTGATTATGAGGGAAGTGAACAATGCTGAGGCCTTAGAGAGGAGCCTCCAGATTGACATATCGCAGGGTTTTATTCTTCACAAGCTCATAGAGCTCCTTGGAAAATTTTTGGAGGTCCCCAATATCCGATCAAGGTAAGAAATTATTATTATTTTTTTCTCATAACCAGCTTTCTTGATGCACGTTAAGTTATGTTCTTCCGCTTTGGGCAGATTCATGCGAGAAAAACTGTTATCCGATGTTCTTGAGTCCCTCATCGTGATCAGGGGCTTGATTGTCCAAAAGACTAAACTAATATGTGACTGTAACCGACTGCTGGAAGATCTGCTTGAGAGTCTTCTGCTAGAGAGCAATGAGAATAAACGGCAGTTCATCCAGGCTTGCATTGGTGGCCTACAGGTTCATGGAGAGGATAAAAAGGGACATAATTCCATGGTATGTGGTTGGTTGATTTCTTTAATTTCATATTCTGCTATTCTGCCATGATGGTTTTACAGCTGACCTTGTTTTATTTTTGCTAGCTAGGTTGGCTTGTATTAATTATTTTTCGTGAATTTGGGTGACATGGATAGAATTAAGTTATGATTGTTGACAACAAATGATGCCTGGGAAAAACTTGTCAGTCTCGGCGATTGTGTACTAATAAATTATGTGGGTGGCCAATTGCATAGGTTTCTTCAGAGAATAGCTTTGGTACTGATGTTCTAATAACAACTGTAATATGTGCTATATCTAAGCTTTCCTTTTTACATTATATGCAGTTTATATTGGAGCAGCTCTGCAATTTGATTAGCCCATCAAAACCAGAGCCTGTTTATCTTTTGATACTGAACAAAGCACATACTCAGGAAGAATTTATTAGGGGATCAATGACCAAGAACCCTTACTCAAGTGCTGAGATCGGTCCCTTGATGCGTGATGTGAAAAATAAAATCTGCCACCAGTTGGATCTTTTAGGTCTGCTTGAAGATGATTTCAGTATGGAGTTGCTGGTCGCAGGGAACATCATCTCTCTTGACTTGAGTATTGCTCAAGTTTACGAGCTGGTTTGGAAGAAATCAAACAGCCAATCATCTAATCCAGCCGCTGGAGCTGCATTTGTGTCTGCTAATGCTGCCTCATCCAACAGAGATTGCCCTCCAATGACAGTCACCTATCGGCTTCAGGTATCCTTTATAATCTCTATCGGCTGATGGTTTAATAGTTCTTCTCTAAGTTCTACTGTATTGTCTTTCTTACTGCATTAAGATGTAACCAGCACCTGTCCGGTTGATAGTTTACGATTGTTCTTTTAACCCGCAATATTTGGACGTAATACATCCCTCAAATTCTTAGGGCTTAGATGGTGAAGCTACAGAGCCCATGATCAAAGAGTTAGACGAGGATAGAGAGGAATCTCAAGATCCTGAGGTTGAGTTTGCTATAACTGCTGCCGTACGAGAATGTGGGGGCCTGGAGATTCTCTTGAGCATGGTCCAGGTGTGCAAATTTTACTTAGTAAAGCTGTTTTAACTCTCTCTCAAATGTTACTTACCATTAATTTATTTGAACAGCGGTTACAAGATGATCTGAAGTCAAATCAAGAGCAGCTGGTGGCTGTGCTAAATCTTTTGATGCTTTGTTGCAAAACAAGGGAAAACAGAAGAGCATTATTACGACTGGGAGCTTTAGGTTTACTCCTTGAAACTGCAAGGCGTGCGTTCTCTGTGGATGCTATGGAGCCAGCCGAAGGCATTCTTCTGATTGTGGAGAGCTTGTCTCTGGAAGCAAATGAGAGTGACAACATCAATGTCACACCAGGAGTATTTACAGTCTCCAGTGAGGATACTGGCAGCAATGAACAGGCCAAGAAAATTGTTCTCATGTTCCTGGAGCGCTTGTCACACCCTTCAGGACTTAAGAAGTCAAGTAAACAGCAGAGGAATACAGAAATGGTTGCAAGAATCTTGCCATATTTGACGTACGGGGAACCTGCAGCCATGGAAGTTCTTGTCGAGCACTTTGACCCTTACTTGAAGGACTGGAGTGCATATGATCGCCTACAGAAGCAATATGAAGACAATCCAAAGGATGAAAAGATTGCCCAGCTTGCAGACAAACAGAAATTTGCATTCGAAAATTTTATACGGGTCTCCGAGTCGTTAAAAACAAGTTCTTGTGGGGAGAGATTGAAGGATATAATATTGGAAAGAGGAATTACTGGACTTGCTGTGAGACACTTGAAGGTATCTTTTGCTTGCATGGGGCAGCCTGGCTTTAGATCGACCGCTGACTGGACGGCTGGGTTGAAATTGCCTTCTATTCCTCTCATACTCTCTATGCTGAGGGGGCTCTCAATGGGTCACTTGGCCACTCAACGGTGTATCGATGAGGAAGGGATTTTACCTTTGCTCCATGCTTTGGAGAGTGTTCCTGGTGAAAACGAGATTGGTGCGAAGGCTGAAAACTTGTTGGACACCCTCACTGACAAGGAGGGGACAGATAATGGATATTTAGCAGAAAAAGTTCGCCAACTGAGACGTGCAACTCGTGATGAGATGAGGCGTCGAGCTCTGAAGAAAAGAGAACAGTTGCTTCAGGTATTTATTTTCTTTTCTTGTGATCATTTATCTTTTTCTTTTTACACAACTAGTGTGGCAATTTGCATCTCTCTGGGTTTTGGTCAAATTTATATTGAACCGCTTATATAAAATTCTTTAGTGATTTTCAGTTTCACATGAAAGGGACAGTTGAGAGCAAAATACACTTCATCGTAATTTTGAAATNAATCCTGAGAGAACTCAAAAACTGAAAAATCACTGTAAGTCCTAAAATAAACGAATCAAAGAATTAAGGGAAACCTTAAAAAATAACAGAACTGAGCTTTGTCTTACACAAGTTCTCTGACATTTTTTTTTTATCAGTAGATATGCTTGAAGCAAAACACGAATACAATCAATTTCTCAATAACCGAATAGATACATGTCTTTACTTGTGAAATGTTCCTCACGCTTATGTTGTAAAATAACCCAAGGGACTCGGAATGCGGCAAGAAGTGACTTCGGATGGTGGCGAGCGTATCTTTGTTTCCCAACCTGTCCTTGAGGGTTTCGAAGACATGGAGGAGGAAGAAGACGGGTTGGCCTGCATGGTCTGCCGGGAGGGTTACCGCTTGAGACCCACCGACCTTTTGGGCGTCTACACCTACAGCAAGCGTGTGAGCTTGGGTGCCGGGAGCTCAGGCAGCAGTCGAGGGGACTGCGTCTACACGACCGTCAGCCATTTCAATATCATACATTTCCAGTGCCATCAGGAGGCTAAGAGAGCCGACGCTGCCTTGAAAACCCCAAAGAAGGAGTGGGACGGGGCTGCTCTCAGAAACAACGAGACCCTATGCAATAATCTGTTTCCCCTGAGAGGCCCGTCTGTCCCTGTGGGCCAGTACGTGAGATATGTCGAACAGTACTGGGATTACCTCAATGCTTTGGGACGGGCAGATGGTAGCCGCCTCAGGTTATTGACTTACGACATTGTTTTGGTATGTTGTTGTCATCTTTTCTTTTAGCTAGTTATTTTTTTTTCTTTTTTTTTCGAATTAAAAAATTTGGGTAAATTATGAAAGCTATATCTGATGCTTAGACAAATCCATCNTAAAAAAAAAAAAAAATATTACAATTGCACCCAAAGTAGAACTCAAAAAAATTCATTTTTCTCTCGAGCAAAAGGCGGTTGAACTAAAAAAAATGTCACGTGTTGGATTTTCACAGATGCTGGCACGTTTCGCGATGGGGGCATCCTTCAGCGCGGACAGCCGAGGTGGTGGAAAAGAGAGCAACGCCAAGTTCCTGCCCTTGATGATTCAGATGGCACGCCACCTTCTCGACCACGACCCCTCCCAACGCAACACCCTCTCGAGATCCATAGCCGCCTACCTATCCTCCTCCTCCTCCTCCTCCTCCTCGCCCAATGCAAAAATTACGTCCTCGCCCCCCAGTGCTGCCGCCACCTCAGCAACCACAGTTCAGCAGGTGTCGACCTCGGAGGAGACTTTCCAGTTCATGATGGTGACGTCTCTCTTATGCGAGCCGTACGAGTCGTGGGCCCAGCACCGGCTCGCCTTCCTTGAGCGCGGCATACACCACGCCCACATCAAACGGCTCGGCCAGTCGTCGGCCCAGCGGGAAGGCGACGACCCGTTCTCGACCGTCCGGCCGATACTCGTCTTCACGGGCCTGATCGAGCAGCTCCAGCGCTATTTCAAGTGCAAGGGCTCGTCAGCAGTGGGGCCCAAGGAGGTTTCGGAGGACGAGGGAAGGAAGATGGAAGGGTGGGAGTTGGTGATGAGGGAGAGGCTGCTGAATGTCAAGGAAATGGTGGGATTTTCCAAGGAGATGCTGACTTGGCTGGACGAGATGATGTCAGCGGCTGACCTGCAGGAGTCGTTTGACGTGATGGGAGCGTTGTCGGATGTGGTGGGGTCGGGGTACACGAGGTGTGAGGATTTTGTGTCAGCCGCTATTAATTCGGGGAAGAGCTGAATCTGTTAGCTTTTTTTCTTTTTTTTTTTTATTTTTGTCAATTTGATGACTGAAATTGTTGCTGGCTGAAAGGGTAAGGATGTGATTCTTGTGATGGGAATATGATAGTGATGGTGGCTTATACATGAATATAAGCTTCTTTTTTAAGTTTTGTGGGGATTTGTTGTGGTTTGGGATATGTTTTTTGGGAGATATTATCGTGTACGGTTAATTGGTTTTGATGTACGAGTGGATGCGTAAACTTTTGTAAAACAACAGTTACTTATCAGTTATCACGGAGTGTTCAACTTTCTAGCTTGGATTGTGTGTGGTATTCGCGCGTCGCAGCATATGGCGAATAAATCATCGCCCTTTAGTGCGGTTGAGATTTTACTTGATAAAATAAATATGTATTTTTTAATATATAAAAAAAAAATAAGTGGGGATCAGTACAATTATTCTACTTCTACTGTGACATGTTTAACAGAAAACTTGGTCCGAAAATCAGCAAAAGCCAGATGAGACATATTTGTGATATTTGGCTTAAAATTATTTATTCTCTGTCTGGGTTGTTTTTCCAGTCAACCGATTTACCTTTAGTTTATGCACTTGATTTTTGTCCAAGTTTAAGCATACAAACTAAATTTTGGCGTGTACAACTTTCTTACAAACTAAATTTCGGCACGTGTTTAGCTTGTGCCGGCCCGCGTTGAGCCCAATAGTGTACCTTTTATTTTGCACCTCTTGATATTAATGCATTTTTTCGACATTTACCAAAAAAAAAATTTACAAAAAACGTCGTCTTTGTGTTTATAAAATAGTAAAATACCATTTCTTTCATATGTTGTTTAAACATAAAACGACCACACTAATTACAACAAATGGTGACATGTTTACACACAATCACAAGAAAAGGTATTTTCGCAATCTACATATATAAACCAAGATATTAGATATATGTCTC